AATTCACACTTCCCCACCCAGTCACAACTGTAACGGTTTTGGGCAAAATTGATTTTGTGTCATCTTTCTCACACACACCCACAAAAGCTTTTTTTAAATACAGGCCTAGTGTCTAATCGACATGGCCCAGGACAAAATGGTAACACACACACACACACAGAGGCGGGGGCCCGGGGCTTGGACCGACCCCCGCAACCTAACTAGGGGAGTACAAAAGGTGAACATGCACACAAAGGCACACCAAAAGCACCACACAGCACACACACATGCCAAAACACATGCCCACGACTCACATGCACACACAGCACAACACCACACGCAAACACACACACAAAGTGGGGATTGCGTGATGTATAAAACCCCCACAGAACTGCAGGAGGCCAAGAGAGGGGTATGAAAAGAGCAACAGAGCAATGGTGGGGCACACTTGCTGAGGTGGGAAGAAAGTCACCCGCAGAGAAAATTGCTGGTTTGGGGGGTTTAACCACAGGGGATTACTGGGGGAAAACCCGGAGCCCTGGGGGGCCGAAACATGAGAGCCAGTGTTGGACGTGGGGCTGGAAAACCTCTGCACCAAAAATGTTAAGGCACTACCAGAGTGAGAGGGAGGATGAACCCGAAGATTGGGCTTGTGTTCACCCGGGCAGTCAGAATTGAGGGAAACAATTGAGAGTCCCCAGAGTAGCGACCCCGTGGTCTGGCTTTGAATACATAAGCTGCAAGTGGAGAGAATAACAGGTTGAATGGGAAAAGCCTGATATAAAAGGGGACACATAGGGTTGAAAAATTCCCCGGGGGAGTCCCGTGGGACAGAGAACTGCAGGAAAGCCCGTAAAAGAAAGAGGAAAAATGAACAACAAAATCAAGGAGGGAGGGAAAGGTTTATTCCCCAAGGGGAACAGTAAAATGGAAGACCAAACGAGCCCGGTTTACCCGCGGTGTAAGGAGGCAAAAACAAATGCAAAAGAGAATGGAAAAGTACAGAAGGCGGAACACACGAAAATAGGGAACATGCAGAGCCAGAATGAGTTGCACAGGTAAGGGGGAGGCCCGGAAATTGAAAAAGACATAGCTCGGAATCAAGAGACCCCAAATGTTTTGCCACATCAGGAGGGGAAAACAACATCAAGACCAGGTATCAGTTTTAAAGGGCAGAAGGTGGAGAACCAAAAAATGATCAGGGGTATGTAGGAGCTGAACAGGAGATTTAAGGGGAAATTTTTTTTCAGTAAGAAGGAAAGGGGTGTGGGAAGACAGACAGAAGGGAAAATCAAGAGGGAATATACCAACAAGTTTGGGGACATCGAACAACGAGGGGAGGTGAAGAAGCTCTTAAGTGACCTTTACACCCCAAAAGGGGATGGGGCCGGACAACATTCCCCCGGTCCTTTGAGAAGGGGGAGAGATGCTGTGGTCCCCCTAACCACAAACTTAACACATCCCTTGAAATGGGAACTCCAGAAATGGGAAGCAGCTAATGTGTCCCCCTATTAAGAAAAGGGAAAAAAAAAACGAGGGACAAACTACAACCTGTGTCTCGAATGTATTGTTTGCAAAGTCTGGGGAAAATTTTCAGGAGGAGAGGGTGAAATTGGGAAAAGGGAAAAAGTTTTTAAATGAAAAACCCGCATGGGTTATGGGAAGGGAAATTTTATTGAAACCTCCGGGGGTTTTATGACAAGGTAACAGAAGTAAGACACGGGGGGGGTGGGTGATGCGTTTTCCTAGACTGCAGGGGGCCTTGACACGTTCCCCCAAAGAGATTGTGCAAAGCTGGAGGATAGGCGCACGTAAAAGGGGGGGGCACTGCAATGGTAAGGGAAAACCTGACAGGGAGGGGAACGATCAGGACGTGAAAAGGTATCACAGTGGGCGTGTTATAGGGGGTCCCCGGGGTCAGTTCTAGGCCGTGCTTTTTTGATTAAAATTGAACGACATGAAAAAGGAAAAGATCTGAAGTGTCCCCTTTTGCAGATGACGGAAGTTGATGAGAAGAAATTAAAACGGACGAGGATGAGGAGGACTGCAAGAGACCTGGGCGGTGGACATTGGTCCCGCAACGCTTTCGATTCAAACCCCAAATGCAAAGTCATGAGTTGGGGAGGGGAAAGAAACCGCAGACAGAGTATAGGCTAGGTGGACAAAAACTCGACCCCCCTCAGGAGAAAGACCTTGGGGGGACCATAACACCCAGCACATCACCGGGGGCCCATCAACCCAAAAAACCCCTGCAGATACGGGGGGCCCGGCAAACCTGAGAATAGGTTCCCGAACCTTAATAAGGAAACGTTCAAGAAATGTACAAGTTTTTAGGCCCAATGGAGTATGCAGCACCGTGGGAACCCCACACCTGGTCAAGCAGTCAAGAAAATTTGAGAAAATACAAAAGGGTTTTCAAAAAAGGTAGTCCAGAGTCAAGGGAATGTCGTACGAGGGAAAAGGTTAAGGGAAAACGGGCTGGACACTGGGGACGAAAGGGGAGGGGGCATGATAACGACATACAAAACTGGGGGGAATAGACAAGGGGCAGAATAGGATGTTCCCGAGAGGGGGCACAGGGAAAGGGGTCACAACTGGGAAACTGAAGACTCGCGAGTCACGGGCGTTTGGAAGTATTTTTCAGTCATAGAGTTGTCAGCAATGGAATACCAACAAGGAAGTAGGGAGGCAGGAACCCAAAAAAGTTTTAAGAAGAGGTATGACAAAGTCAGGGAAAAAAGAGAGAGAGAGAGAGAGAGAGAGAGGATCCAAGGGGATCAGTGAAAAAGGGGGCCCGGAGTGAGTCTGACCCCCGCAACCACAATTAGGCGAGTACAATTTTGGTGAGTACTTACACACAACACACACACACACACCCCACGCAGTGTTTATAGTTCGATCAACGGGGCCCGTCGCAACCCGCTCAACATTGTGCAATGCATGAAACAAAATTTTTGTTATAAACTCTATCTTTGGGAAAAAAGTTTGCATCAGTCAAATCATTAGAAAAAGAGGTAGTATAGACTATTATCGAGTAGGTGGGGGAGGTTGTAGTAGGGGTACGGAGGTAATGGCTATGCGGTGGGATTTAAGGGGTAGAGGTTGGAGGTGGTGGGTTAAGTAGTGAGGTAGGAAAAAGATAACACCTTTCCTTAGACTGGTCCTTTATCCTTTCCCTCTCTTCTCCCGCGACAGTAACCACACCTCCACCAGACCCAAAAATCCCCACTTTCCCAAAATTCCCGTCTTTCCCCAGCGTCCCTACCCCTTTACTTTCCTTTCCCCTCACCTCCCCCTCTCAATCCCCCTCTTGCCGTCCCTTCATTTTTCATTCGATAAAAAAGTCAAGGGGTTTTGATTTTTCCGGTGCGGGTTTTTAGTAACTTTGCTAGGCTTCAAACAGGTCACCTACACGAGGGTTATTAAGGCTCTATGTATACTTAATCCCGAAATATGGTGTAAGTAAACTTTATATACAAAAATATACCTTTGTGTATATACATTGATATACATTTTTGTACGAAAGTGTATACACCTTTCAAAGTACAAGAGTACACTTTCCAGTGTAGTAGCAGCACTGCGACCACAAACATTACAGACATTCAATAATAATAAATAATAGCGATGAGAGACTGTGCCAATATATTCAAGGTACTGAAAATAAGATTAGGTTTATTCAGAAAATCTACAAATAATTTTACGGACAGTATAATAGACTTGTTTGTACAATGGTTGTGAGAGCACACATCTGTTATAGGCCTATATTAGTGGTATATCACGTAGATTTAATCTAGAATAACCCCAATAAAGTCAGGATTGATCTAAGTGACTCAATAATGAAGAAAAAAAACATTATAGAATAGTTTTTATTGGGAAAACATTTTGCTCTGATTTGCTTCAACTTGTCTAGATGACCTGGTAAAGCCATATATATATAGAGCGAAACGTTGACTCAATAAAATCTTATTCTGCAATGTGACTTTTTCGAGAAATTCATCGTGAATGTCTGATAATTAGGTTACCACACAAGACTGACTGTGGTTGGAGTCATGGGAAGAAAGTGTTCAGTAATACGCTTTATTCTCATTCTCGTGTCACCAATTTTTATATTACCAGAGAAGTGTCGAAACTCGATCATGTTCACCAAGATAATTAAACCGTGTCTGACATTTTATAAGCAATTCTGTCGACAGGCTAAGATTGAAAGTTACCTTATTTACTGCTAGGCAATTATAAAAAAGAAGCGCTAAACCTACATGGGTCATACAGCTACTGCTTGGCAAACTAGGTAGCAGGTGTAGACTGGCTAACATGTCTCGCCCGACCCGGAAATCGAACCAGGGTTCTTTCGGTTGTAACTATTTGCAAGATTCAGGTTACTAATATATGGATAATGTGTAAGCATCTTGTGTTATAGGCTATCCGAGGAAAATAAGTCACAATACCGTAGCTCGACTGGTAGCGCACTGCGCTCACACACCGAGGTCCGGGGTTCGATCCCCGGTTCGGGTGGAGACACTAGGACGTGTTTCCTCAAGATACCTACTGTCCATGTTCACATAGCAGTAAAATAGGTGCTTGGGTGTTAGTGGATTGATGTGGGTCGCATCCTGGGGACATAATTGACCTAATTTTCGGGAAATGCTCAGCATAACAATGACTTTCTATATAGTAGTATGTCATTGATGTCAGCTATGGTCTGTATACCTTGTACATGTACTGGTAGTAATAGATTATTATCATAACCTTAAAGTTCAGTTCTGAGAAGATTATTATAATCAAGGGGGAAGCGCTAAACCCGGAGGATTATACAGCAGCTCTGAGAAGAATAACATCACAATATCGTAGTTATAACAACTCACAAATAAAGGCTTATTATTTGTATCACAACTTAGAAGATAGGAAGAAATACACAAGTTCTGTGTAGAAAATACATTGTTAGGTTTAAAGCCTATCAACTGCACGATGGTCGTTAAATTCATTAATTTAACATAGTAGAAAAATAATAAAAACTTTCTTACCTTAAAAATCTTCATGTTTGTGAAGAGGGAGAGAAGAGACCTTAAATGTGCTGTAAATTCCTTGGATCCAAAGCCTTCACCTTTCCCGCCTCTTAATACTCGTTCTTCATACAATAAAATAATGTATTTCCAAGGTATATTCTCATTATTTTCACTAAACTAAGTCATACAGAGTTTGACGAATAAGAGACAATCACAGCTGATCTGAAAAAAAGGGGGGGGGGATATTTTCCCGGAATAAAAAAAAAGAATCCGTAAAGTCAGTTCCTGATCAGCCGGGCTGTGGCTCGTACGTTGGTTTGCGTGCAGCCAGCAGCAACAGCCTGGTTGATCAGGCTCTGATCCACCAGGAGGCCTGGTCACAGACCGGGCCGCGGGGGCGTTGACCCCCGGAACTCTCTCCAGGTAAACCAGAATTAAAAACCTTAACCCCCCCAGGACAAAACCCTGGGGGGGGGGGACTCAAAATTCATTCTTCATCCAGTTATGTAGGTTAAAATAACATTACATTCAGAAAGAAGCGCTAAATCCTCATGGATCATAGTGAACATATCCGAAGGATGCTTCTCGGGGGTCAAAGTCCCTCCTCCCCGGTCACAAACCAGGCCTCTCAGGTGGAACAAAAACCTGTTCAACCTGGCTGTTACCGCTGGCAGCATGCAGTTATCGTCACTGAACCCCCCCCCCCACAAAAGAACAATTAAGAACCGATGCCGAGTCGTTCAACATATATAAATATCACCTAATATGCAAGAGTTGATATATACAATATTAAATAAACCAGACGGTAAGTCACTCACTCCACCACTAACACAATCTTACTTCCACTTCATTCTGAGAAACCTATTTTACACTCAGTTTGGTAAAAACGTTGCCACTGAGAATATATAAACCATTTTTCAAGTGTGGAAGGAACCAGGAGAGCGACACACCCTGACTCCACCAGCTGTCACCACCAACTGTCAGCTCACCATGGCTGACTTCCACCTAACAATCCTGCCACTGTACTCATCCAGTTCTTCTCCATATTCAGAATCCCCCCCTCCCCCTCGCGCTCCATTTTAGTGTCATTATTTCAGTAACAGCCTGGTTGATCAGGGTCTGATCCATCACTGAGCCTGGTCACAGACCAGGTCGTGGGGGCGTTGACCCCCAAATTTTCATTTCCACTTTTCCCTATTTAAATTTTAAATTAATAAAAATTATTACATTTGAAAAGTAATTTATTTAAAAATGACTTAACATATTAATTATGTATTAACAAAAACTAAACTGGCTAATAACAAGATTTATCATGAACAACAAATTATAAATATTTAAGAAATTGTCAGAACATTGTACTCTCCACCACTGTCAGAACACTGTACTCTCCACCACTGTCAGAACACTGTACTCTCCACCACTGTCAGAACACTGTACTCTCCACCACTGTCAGAACACTGTACTCTCCACCACTGTCAGAACATTGTACTCTCCACCACTGTCAGAACATTGTACTCTCCACCACTGTCAGAACACTGTACTCTCCACCACTGTCAGAACACTGTACTCTCCACCACTGTCAGAACATTGTACTCTCCACCACTGTCAGAACACTGTACTCTCCACCACTGTCAGAACACTGTACTCTCCACCACTGTCAGAACACTGTACTCCACCACTGTCAGAACACTGTACTCTCCACCACTGTCAGAACACTGTGCTCTCCACCACTGTCAGAACACTGTACTCTCCACCACTGTCAGAACACTGTACTCTCCACCACTGTCAGTACACTGTACTCTCCACCACTGTCAGTACATTGTACTCTCCACCACTGTCAGAACATTGTACTCTCCACCACTGTCAGAACATTGTACTCTCCACCACTGTCAGACAACACTGTACTCTCCACCACTGTCAGAACACTGTACTCTCCACCACTGTCAGAACACTGTACTCTCCACCACTGTCAGACCATTGTACTCTCCACCACTGTCAGAACATTGTACTCTCCACCACTGTCAGTACATTGTACTCTCCACCACTGTCAGACAACACTGTACTCTCCACCACTGTCAGAACACTGTACTCTCCACCACTGTCAGAACACTGTACTCTCCACCACTGTCAGAACATTGTACTCTCCACCACTGTCAGAACACTGTACTCTCCACCACTGTCAGAACATTGTACTCTCCACCACTGTCAGAACACTGTACTCTCCACCACTGTCAGTACATTGTACTCTCCACCACTGTCAGAACACTGTACTCTCCACCACTGTCAGAACACTGTACTCTCCACCACTGTCAGAACACTGTACTCTCCACCACTGTCAGAACATTGTACTCTCCACCACTGTCAGAACACTGTACTCTCCACCACTGTCAGAACACTGTACTCTCCACCACTGTCAGTACATTGTACTCTCCACCACTGTCAGAACACTGTACTCTCCACCACTGTCAGAACACTGTACTCTCCACCACTGTCAGAACACTGTACTCTCCACCACTGTCAGAACATTGTACTCTCCACCACTGTCAGAACACTGTACTCTCCACCACTGTCAGAACACTGTACTCTCCACCACTGTCAGAACATTGTACTCTCCACCACTGTCAGAACATTGTACTCTCCACCACTGTCAGAACACTGTACTCTCCACCACTGTCAGACCATTGTACTCTCCACCACTGTCAGACCATTGTACTCTCCACCACTGTCAGAACACTGTACTCTCCACCACTGTCAGAACATTGTACTCTCCACCACTGTCAGTACATTGTACTCTCCACCACTGTCAGAACATTGTACTCTCCACCACTGTCAGAACACTGTACTCTCCACCACTGTCAGAACACTGTACTCTCCACCACTGTCAGTACATTGTACTCTCCACCACTGTCAGAACACTGTACTCTCCACCACTGTCAGTACATTGTACTCTCCACCACTGTCAGAACACTGTACTCTCCACCACTGTCAGAACACTGTACTCTCCACCACTGTCAGAACACTGTACTCTCCACCACTGTCAGAACACTGTACTCTCCACCACTGTCAGAACACTGTACTCTCCACCACTGTCAGAACACTGTACTCTCCACCACTGTCAGAACATTGTACTCTCCACCACTGTCAGAACATTGTACTCTCCACCACTGTCAGAACACTGTACTCTCCGCCACTGTCAGACCATTGTACTCTCCACCACTGTCAGACCATTGTACTCTCCACCACTGTCAGAACACTGTACTCTCCACCACTGTCAGAACATTGTACTCTCCACCACTGTCAGTACATTGTACTCTCCACCACTGTCAGAACATTGTACTCTCCACCACTGTCAGAACATTGTACTCTCCACCACTGTCAGAACACTGTACTCTCCACCACTGTCAGAACATTGTACTCTCCACCACTGTCAGAACACTGTACTCTCCACCACTGTCAGACCATTGTACTCTCCACCACTGTCAGTACATTGTACTCTCCACCACTGTCAGAACATTGTACTCTCCACCACTGTCAGAACACTGTACTCTCCACCACTGTCAGAACACTGTACTCTCCACCACTGTCAGACCATTGTACTCTCCACCACTGTCATAACATTGTACTCTCCACCACTGTCAGAACACTGTACTCTCCACCACTGTCAGAACATTGTACTCTCCACCACTGTCAGAACATTGTACTCTCCACCACTGTCAGAACATTGTACTCTCCACCACTGTCAGACCATTGTACTCTCCACCACTGTCAGTACACTGTACTCTCCACCACTGTCAGAACACTGTACTCTCTACCACTGTCAGTACACTGTACTCTCCACCACTGTCAGAACACTGTACTCTCCACCACTGTCAGAACACTGTACTCTCCACCACTGTCAGAACATTGTACTCTCCACCACTGTCAGAACATTGTACTCTCCACCACTGTCAGAACATTGTACTCTCCACCACTGTCAGAACATTGTACTCTCCACCACTGTCAGAACACTGTACTCTCCACCACTGTCAGAACACTGTACTCTCCACCACTGTCAGAACACTGTACTCTCCACCACTGTCAGAACACTGTACTCTCCCCCACTGTAAGATCATTGTACTCTCCTCCACTGTGAGGACGCTGTACTCTACTGTGAGAACACTGTACTCTCCTCCACTCTGAGAACACTGTACTCTCATCCACTCTGAGAACACCGTACTCTCCTCCACTGTGAGAACACTGTACTCTCCTCCACTGTGTGAACACTGTACTCTCCTCCACTGTGTGAACACTGTACTCTCCACCGTGAGAACACTATACTCTCCACCACCCTGAGAACACTGTACTCTCCACCACCGAGTACACTGTACTCCCCACCACCCTGAATACACTGTACTCTCCACCACCCTGAGTACACTGTACTCTCCACCCTGAGTACACTGTACTCTCCACCGAGTACACTACTCTCCACCACCCTGAGTGCGCTGTACTCTCCACCACCCTGAGTGCGCTGTACTCTCCACCACCCTGAGAACGCTGCACTCTGACCTGACCTGATGCTGCTGCTGGGGAAGGGCTCTTGATCCAAGGACCTTGAGCTAGCCCACCCTTTTATGGATCAAGAAAAAAACAACTGTCCCAGTGTGTGTTTTATTGGTAATACATCAAGGTACACAGAGTGATACATCAAGGTACACAGAGTGATACATAGTGTAAGATTACTGATACATTCTCTACCACATATTGTAAAACTACGGTAATAGGTAGTGTACTGTACTAGTTATTAATGATACTGTGTACAACATTACTGATACATAGTGTACTAATATAATTAATGATACATAGTGTACTATAATTAAGTACTTAGTTAACTACTACAAATAGTGATACACAGTATAATATCACAATTAGTTATATACATTAAACTACTATAATTAATAAGTTAATATTATTACTGATACATAGTGTACTAACATAGATAGTGTACTACTATAGTTAGGTACACAGTCAACTACTAGTTACCGATACACGATATAATACCACAGTTATAAACTACTGTAATTACCGATACACAGTATACAGTAACTTATAATTGAACGAGAGGAAATATTTTTTTTTTTTATTCGGCGGTATTCTCCCGGCCCGGGTCTTTTCCAAGTAGTGGTGACCCGGCCTTGGCTCCCTATCTGGGGAGTGTCTCGAGACTTAAGTCTCCCATGGGAGGAGGTACAAGTACCCCCTCATCTTTGGGACCAACTGTCCCCAGGCCTAGTCACATTCCCCGCCCTCACGGGGCTCGTAGGGAGAAGCTAGGCCTCTGGCCTGCCATCTGCCCCGCCCGAAAGGGGCTCGTGGGGATGGCAGTCTTGTGAGCTGCAGGTGGTAGCAAGCTCAGGCCTTCCTTCTGAGGAAATAGTTGTGACCTGTAAACACAAAGATCTTTTTTTTTTTTAATAAATACATTATTTAACAGTAATATATTATTATCTGGTGAAATTAGGCAGGTGACACACATCAGTTTTGATTACCAGTTAGGTAAATTTTGTGACGAAGACGAGATAATGGGACTGACAGGGCAACACAGAGAAGAAACATATATTGCCTTTGTGAACGATTATACAGGGTTAAGTGTACTGTGCTATTTGTGATACGATGAAAAAGGTTAATATTGGTTGGCTGGTTTGTTAGTGGGGTTTCAAGCCTACCATGTGGGTCATTGAGGCTGCATGACACCACCGTCAGCTATGGTCACAGTCACCTGCCAGCGGCAGAAAAAAACAAATCGGTTGTCGGAAGAACACAGAGTATAACACCATCATTCATTCACAAATATATGCTAATTTTAAGTCTGCTGACATACCTGGAGTATACCTGGAGAGGGTTTAGGGGGTAAACGCCCCCGAAGGTCTCGTGGTGGATCAGGGCCTGATCAACCAGGCTGTTATTGCTGGCATGAGGGATTAAACAAAAACTTTACTTTTCTCTT